TTGTCACCCCTAATATCACTATCACATCATTATTATTATTATGTTAATTTTTTAAATCTCAATACCATTACTCTTCTCTCCGGTGAAATTTTCAACCTTCGGTTTGATTGTAACTTANCGTATTTTCTTGTTGTGTTAAAAATTGTCACCCCTAATATCACTATCACATCATTATTATTATTATGTTAATTTTTTAAATCTTAATACCATTACTCTTCTCTCCGGTGAAATTTTCAACCTTCGGTTTGATTGTAACTTAATCTTGTATCTTTTTTGTTATATTTTGACTTTACCTCTTTTTAATAATAAATCATCCGACAGTGACGAATTAAGGCCTACTATTTATGAGTTCCCCATTTATTAAGTAAAATTGAATAAAAAAACTAATGAAAAAGATCTCAATTCATTGTAACTAACCGAAAATGATGGACAAAGATATATGATTTTAATTTTTAAAATCAAAGTTGTTTAATAATTAATTTAAAATTATTTACGATCTAAAATTATGCGAGTGAACTTAATTCAAGTTTGACTTCTTTATAATAACAAACTTAGAAATTCAATCAAATTCAATTTATTTTACAATTTAAAGGACTTTAATTTAATAAAATCGAGACGAACTCCAAGTGAGATTAAGTTGCTCAATGGGTTTAAAAGATATGTGGATACTAAACAAATCAAGTAAATTCATGTCAACATTTAACACATTTTGATGCAATTTAGTTTTTTTTTTTAAAAAAACAAAACCAAAATTTATTTATTAACAAAGCAAACAGTAGGAATTTCGTTAATCTATTCATGCGCGTCACTAATTAGATGATGTGACATTTGACTACCTTAAAAGAGTCGTAGATACTCCTACCGTTTATTCGTGCTTGGTTGAATTTCTTTTCTTTGACATTTAGAACACTGGGCATAAATCNTAAAAAAACAAAACCAAAATTTATTTATTAACAAAGCAAACAGTAGGAATTTCGTTAAACTATTCATGCGCGTCACTAATTAGATGATGTGACATTTGACTACCTTAAAAGAGTCGTAGATACTCCTACCGTTTATTCGTGCTTGGTTGAATTTCTTTTCTTTGACATTTAGAACACTGGGCATAAATCACATTGCATGAGCATCCGCAAGGACCATCACAATGCTTTGTTTTAATTAAACGTTCGGATTTTCCTTGTCTGTATCAGTTCCGAGTTGATTGTTTGACGCCCGGAAGTACCCTCGCGGAGCCGTTCCCAGTCCGTCCTCGGCACGCAGCAACTCGCTCTCGCCGCTGAAGCAGCTCGAGCAATCCATCGACAGCCGACAGGTTTGAGACTAGGATCCTCGTGCTCAGCCCTCAAAATCAATCCTTTTCCCGAGGTTACAGATCCATTTTGTCAACTTCCCTTGCTTACATTGTTCCATCGACCAGAGGTTGTTCACCTTAGAGACCTGATGCGGTTATCATATATGCCAAAAACTCACACAAGAGAATGTGTTGCTACTTTACTAAGTTGACCTTTCGATTGACTTACAAAATATATTTAGTTGGCCAATACTTCTTCTCGTTTGGGNACTTCCCTTGCTTACATTGTTCCATCGACCAGAGGTTGTTCACCTTAGAGACCTGATGCGGTTATCATAGAGACCTGATGCGGTTATCATATATGCCAAAAACTCACACAAGAGAATGTGTTGCTACTTTACTAAGTTGACCTTTCGATTGACTTACAAAATATATTTAGTTGGCCAATACTTCTTCTCGTTTGGGGTATAAGGGACCTAATAAGTAACCTAATTCAATGCAGTCATTAAATTAGTAGTAAACTCCAATGTTTAATTCAATTGTTATATTGAATTAGGTCCTTAGATTAAGTCCAAATAGTATTTTCTTATATTATGTTGGGAGATAGGACGACAAGAAAAAAAATATTGGGTGTAACCGTTACACCATATCAACAATGCCACGTAGTGTAACCATCCACTAATAAATAAACAAATTAACAAGTGAACCCTATTAAAACTCATAATCACCCGGTCATTTAATACATAACTACCTCCATAATAGAAAGTGGACCTCATTTCATCTATTTTATTATTTTTTTATTGGATGGTTACACCATGTCAACAATACTGACATGATATAACGGTTATACCCAATATTTACTCGACACAGAGGATGCGATACAATGCCGGAATGTTCACCCTGTGAGCATGGAGCCTTGGGCTCCNTTATAAGGGACCTAATAAGAAACCTAATTCAATGCAGTCATTGAATTAGTTGTAAACTCCAATGTTTAATTCAATTGTTATATTGAATTAGGTTCTTAGATTAAGTTCAAATAGTATTTTTTTATATTATGTCGGGAGATAGGACGAAAAGAAAAAAAATATTGGGTGTAACCGTTACACCATATCAACAATGTCACGTAGTGTAACCATCCACTAATAAATAAACAAATTAACAAGTGAACCCTATTAAAACTCATAATCACCCAGTCATTTAATACATAACTACCTCCATAATAGAAAGTGGACCTCATTTCATCTATTTTATTGTTTTTTATTGGATGGTTACACCATGTCAACAATACTGACATGATATAACGGTTATACCCAATATTTACTCGACAAAGAGGATGCGATACAATGCCGGAATGTTCACCCTGTGAGCATGGAGCCTTGGGCTCCATTGGGGGTCCTAAACAGCACTAATCAGCTAATAGTAAAAATTTTCATTGCTGATGTTTGTTTGTGTGTGTGTGTGTGTGTGTGAGAGAGAGAGAGAGAGATGGATCTTTACCTTCAACTTATCGAAGCAAATTAGTTTAGGGGTTCAGAGTTGGCACTGCTTTTTCTATAGGAGTGTACAAATGATCAGCTGCATATAAGAGAAAGGTCAGCTTCCTGACTCTTTGTTTGGTCCCATAGAAGTCATTGGCAAACAGATATTGCAGGATCATGTTGAATAATGCATATCATGATGATAAGAGTACAAGAAAACCAGGAATTAAAAAAANGGGGTTCAGAGTTGGCACTGCTTTTTCTATAGGAGTGTACAAATGATCAGCTGCATATAAGAGAAAGGTCAGCTTCCTGACTCTTTGTTTGGTCCCATAGAAGTCATTGGCAAACAGATATTGCAGGATCATGTTGAATAATGCATATCATGATGATAAGAGTACAAGAAAACCAGGAATTAAAAAAATGGACATTTTATTTCATTTTTGGGTAAATAAATTTAGTTATTGATGGGTAAATGAAGTATTACAACAAAAAACGGAGAAAAGAAAAACAAAGAATGCAAAAGCAGAAGATTAAAAACTGAAGTACCGCTAATCAACTGATAACCATTAGAGTCATTGGCTGAACCATCCTTTAATCAAGCAATTTGCTTCATTTCATCGTCAGCAAATATGATGTTCCAGCAATATCACCATCATCTGTACAGTATACCACAAAACAGCCACCCTTAAGCAGCAGGAATATAAGCGGTTAATCAATCACAACGTTGAGCCATCATTCAAGTTTGTAATCTCAACAGGGCTGTATTGACTGCTATAATGAACAATCTATCCAAATTCCATCATCAATCAGTGAAAAACACAGCCAAACTATCAGAATAACAGGGCAACAACAGTATCACAAACGCAAACTCAACAGCGTGACAATGCAACATAGCCAGATGCCCCTGCTGTTGGTAACCAGACTAAAATGCAATCTCCTTATCATCATAACTTTGCAGCTACTATCAAGGAGTCAAACAATTAGCAGGAAGGTTCCAGATGTGACCAATAAGCCTGTTAACGGGAGTATTTGAAAACTTGAAAGCAGACATTCTGCCCCCCGATGACTGCATATGCTCCTTTCTGAACTTTACCGATGTCTCCAAAAGAGTTACAAAAAATTCTGCAAATTTTCCTTCCAAATATAGTAGTGGCAGCAGACGTCGTAGACTAGGAATGATATGAGCATTTTCCTTTCCACTTATCTGGAGCCCAATTTCTCACAGAAGTCCATGACAAGTTTGGCAGTGTGATAGCATATCATTATGCAGTGAAGATAGACAGGCAAATTAATCTTCAAAAGGAGCACTGAAAGAAAATATGGTCACGAGTTTCTGAATCAGCTCTGCACACAGTACATCAGTACCTATATTGTTAATGTAGATATGGAACCTCTCCTTAATGTTAAGTTTTCCCTTAAAGGCCAGCCACAACATAAAACTCCATCTAGGAACGGCCTTCTTAAACCACAACAACCGGTATCAATCAACTACAGGATAATGATTTCTAATAGTATCCCAAGCAGAAGAAACAAAAAAATTTCCTTTTGCAAAGGGTAACCATACAGTAAGTATCCCATCTCAAGCTTTGAGGCTGGTATGAAGGCATGAAAATTTCAATTTTCGTTAACTCCTTTGAATTAGCAATGAGCTAGCACCATTCGTTGTCCTCAATAGTAGCACAAACCAGGGATTTCTGAGGCATTCAGACTCATACATAACCCTGGGAGACCATCAAAGTAATAAAGGTCCTTCAGAGTGCCAATTGTCATACCCTAACTTTATAGTGCCTCCATTGCCAACAAGGTGCTTTAAATGTGGCCTTACTGTGTCTCTTCAACTAGAAGATTCTCATCCAGTTCTAGGAGAATACTCAAAAGATCAAGGCATATAACTTCCTTTAGTAGAAGAATGATTCCATAATATCATCTATTCGAATTCATAAATCAGTACATCGAAAAAATGGCAATCAAGAACTTTATAGAAAACTAACTGAATAGGTTATAACATCACTGCAATTTGGGGAAAATCCCTTTATATTCCTTTAATGAAAGTTTCATAATCATAATTTCCACTGAACTTCAAATTTGAGAGAGCTGCAATTGACTCTCTCGCTTCTATACAGAATGAACAGATGACTTTTGATCCTTTGGTAGTAATTTGCTCTTAAACTCCACCATAGCATTAACTGAGGCTCTTTTAGAGGAAGACCAAATGACTTAAATCAATCCTATACTGACCCATTTTCATATTCAATAACCGCATTAATAGGGGCTCTCATTTTCAAGACCATTTCTTTGTACTCATCTTCAGGATTTGAAAGAGCTACAATGGCCCCTCCTCCTCCTACGGAAGCTTCGCCCTCATGTATGACGACTGTTCTTATAACAATGTTAAGATCAAATGTTTGGTTATATGAGAAAAATCCTATGCAGCCAGAATAGATGCCCCTGGAACAACTCTCAAGAGATTCAAGAAGTTCGACCGATCTTAGCTTAGGCGCACCTGTCATTGAGCCACCAGGAAACGCTGCCCTAACACAATCAACTGCACTCACATTTGATCGCTTCTTTCCACGAATTGTACTCACCATGGTGTGAACCGTCGAATAAGATTCCACTTCCATCAGATGGGGCACATGAACTGTGCCAGGCTCGCAGACACGACCAAGGTCATTCCTTAGAAGGTCAACAATCATCAGATTTTCTGCTTGATCCTTTTCACTGTTGAGAGAGAGAGAGAGAGAGAGTTAGCAAGGCAGCAGGAGCAACATGGAGTGTGATCGGCAATTCAAGCAAAATTGTTGTTTAAAGGATTTTTTAGTCCACAAAATAATTACAAAAAAGGAAAAATTGAAAAAGCATGGAACTCAGTCACCGTAAGTAAACAAAAGCAAGAGCATCAAAAAAAGGGTGAAAGGTCTTAACTAGTAAGTTTCTTAATAACATATTAAATGAAATGGCACAACTGTAGAGGAAGTTAGAAGTATGCATCTCATTGGCCTAAAAATAAAAAAAACACTGGCATATCACTAGCAACAAGAGATTGCTGGAAAATGTTTGCAATCACATGTTTGAAAGCAGACACTGCAATCCAAGTTCAATATTCACCCATGGACAGTTTTAGATCAAACCCATCGAGAATTTAACTGATCATTACCTATATTGTAACTGCAGTTTGAGAAGTTCATCTTCCTCTGATTCTGAACCACGAGCCACGGTGCCCTTTATTGGCTTTGCTTCCAAAATCCCATTTCTGTCCAATCTTAAGAACCTCTCGGGCGAAGAACAACAGATAGATAGTTTCTCCTTGGAAAAATTAATCCAGGCAGCATATGGTGCTGGATTCCTTTCTCTAAGATTAAGATAAAGTCCCAGAGAATCTATTTCCCCTATTCGTTTTCTCGTCTGAGTTGTTAGACACAACTCATAGCTTTCTCCATCTTTTATGTATTTCTGACATTCATCAACATCTTTGATATACTGCTCTCTAGACTTCTCAGCAACAAAGCCCGCTTTAATTGAACCATTTGCATCCAGTCCTGAAGTCTGAGGCTTCAGATCTTCTGAGGCAGAAGCTTTTAGGCTGAGAAGCTTCTGCTCCACTCCATCCAACCATGGTGTCATTGTGCTCCCATCATGTAAGGATAACACATAAATGTCGTCATAAAAATGGTCTATCACTACAAGGTTGTCTGAAAAGAAAAAGCAAGCATCTGGTGCCCCTGATTTATGACAGTTAGATGGCATGCCACATTCAACTTTAAGGCCATACCTGCATGATAGAAACATCAACATTTACCAAACAAATTTTGAAGACCAAATATTTACATGTAGTGTTGCCATCTTCATTGTCCCCAAGGCTTCTATGTGCAAATCTAACAAATTTATAAATATTGANGTGTTGCCATCTTCATTGTCCCCAAGGCTTCTATGTGCAAATCTAACAAATTTATAAATATTGAGGGTGTAACCAAGTGCGTGAACACGCTGGAGAAGCATTGTCTGATGGCAACATGAAGACAGGAATCATTTTTCTAATGATGGATAATAAGGTCTGCATCATATNGAACACGCTGGAGAAGCATTGTCTGATGGCAACATGAAGACAGGAATCATTTTTCTAATGATGGATAATAAGGTCTGCATCATATATGCTTGATTTTAATGGCAGAAATTATATTAATGATTATAAGAAACTTATGGCACTGAAGATGGTAGAGATTAACAATATATATCTAAGAAAATAAAGAACAATCCACCACAATAAATTCCCAAATAAGTTCATTCAGTTGGTTCTCGCTAAACCTTATCGTCCAATATAAAAAGAAACTGAACCCTTATTCCATAACATACCATATGAGGTTTCGGAAATTTTGGGTTTCACATTCCTCTTAAAATACGCCAGAAGATGCTGTAACTTAAACACAGGAGAAGTCTATCTATATGCCAATGAAACAGTTCACAACACATAGTTCAAATCAACTCCAACCTTTATAAATCAGTAGAAAGGAATCGACTCTAGCTGATACTTCATTTACTGATCTGCAGCACCGCAATTTCTAAAATTTCAAATGAACCCTAGAAGTTGCTGTCACTTTATTAGATAAAAATGCATACCTAATCCAACTAAAGACTCCCAACATGTCCTTTCAGGGAGTGCATATCTGGGTTTTGTTGGGGAGCAGGTGTTTCAAGTTACAAAATAAACACTTGCATCCCCCATACCCAATACAACATGTTTATACAGGTCAGCATCTGCCACTGAGATGCTTCAAGAAATTTTTTAATAAAAAAGTACTAGGAATAAATAATAAAGAATACATCACAGATTTTTTGGGACGGGGGCAGTTTCCACCTATGATATTAATACCAACATACACTCACCAGCAGCAGTTAGCTTGAGTACACCCAAATAAAGAAGTCGGATTAGCCTTGGTTGACTTACTAGAAATTGGAAGGTGGAAATATTCATCAAGATCAAGAATGGAAACCCTACTGCTAGGTACCAAAATAAAAAATAATGGAGAAACCAAACAAACAACCACATCCTTCACCTCCCTGCTCTCCAGAGTCCAGACTCATAGTGCTCAAGTTGGATAGTTGCTGACCCTGTATTAGGGCCAATCAGAAAGGTCCCAATTTAGCCAAAGCATTAGCTTGACCATCAATGAACCTTGGATTCCATCTAATTTCCCTTTCCAGAGCGGCGAAAAGATCAACAGTTTCACTTGTTATATTTAACAAGACCATGAACTGATAAAACCATCGTCCAAGGATTGTTAAAGGTGAGAGGCGAGGTCTGCAGCTGGACTACCAGACTGCTCAAGCCAATTCAATCAGAGACAATTAGGTGAGTCTTCCTCTTTTTTTTTTTTTTCTTATTCTTCTTCCTCCTCTTCATTTCTTCTTCGTCCTCTTCACCTGGTTGTCTTCTCCCTCTTCATTTCCTTTTTCTTCTGGTGAAGACGTTCAACATTCAACGTTCAGACTTCAGACCACCTTCTGC